GGGGGAGGCTGCTGCGGGGCGGGGGGGTCCCCGCGGCCTCAGCCCCCTGCCGCCCCCGCAGCCGTGGAGACGCAGAGCAGCAGCTCGGAGGAGATCGTGCCCAGCCCGCCGTCGCCGCCGCCGCTGCCGCGCATCTACAAGCCCTGCTTCGTGTGCCAGGACAAGTCCTCGGGCTACCACTACGGCGTGAGCGCCTGCGAGGGCTGCAAGGTGAGGGCCGCCACGCACCGCGCCGCGTGGCCTCGTCCCACCATGGCCCCATCCCGCCATGGTCCCCGTCCCGCCATGGTCCCCGTCCTGCCATGGTCCCCATCCTGCCATGGTCCGCATGCCGTGGTTATCTCTATCCCACCGTGGTCCCCATCCTACCATGTCCCTGTCTCGCCATGGTCCCATCCCACCACGGTCCCCATCCCACCACGGTCCCCATCCCACCACGGTTCCCATCCCACCACGGCTCCCATCCCGCCATGGCCCCATCCTGCCATGGTCCCCATCCTGCCATGGTCCCCATGCCGTGGTTATCTGTATCCCACCATGGGCCCCATCCCACCATGATCCCCATCCCACCATGGTACCCGTCCCACCATGGTCCCTGTGCCACAGTTATCTCCATCACGCCATGGTCCCTGTGTCACTGTGGTCCCTGTCGTGGCATGTTCCCATCCCACCATGGTCCCCATCACGCCATGGTCCCCATACCACTATGGTCCCCATGCCATGGTTATCTCCATCGTGCCATGGTCCCCATCCCGCCATGTCCCCATCCCACCGTGGTCCCCATGTCACAACTATCTTCCCTCCTGCCATTGTCTATCTGTCACTGTGGTCCCCATCCCACCATAGTCACCATGGTCCCCATCCCACCATGGTTTCCATTGTCCCATGGTCTCTGGGCCACTGTGGTCCCCACCCCACCATCTCCCCATCCCATCCCGGTCCACATGCCACGGTTATCTCCAGCGCAGCATAGTCCCCATCCCACCATGGTCCCTGTGCCACCAGGGTCTCCATCCCACCATGCTCCCTGTGTCACCAGGGGCTCCATCCCGCCATGGCCCCTGTCCCACCATAGTCCCTGTCCCGCCACGGTCCCTGTGGCACCGCAGCCGCCGTCCCGACGCGCCCCCCACGTCCTCCCGCGTGGCGCTGACGGCGCCGGGGTCCCCCCAGGGCTTCTTCCGCCGCAGCATCCAGAAGAACATGGTGTACACGTGTCACCGGGACAAGAACTGCATCATCAACAAGGTGACGCGCAACCGCTGCCAGTACTGCCGCCTGCAGAAGTGCTTCGAAGTCGGCATGTCCAAGGAGTGTGAGTGCAGGGGGGGACCCGGGGGGAGCCCCCCGCGGCCGCTGTTGCCGCGGCGACGCGTGATGGATGATGTCAGAGATAAATGGCACCGACGGGGCCCCCGGCTCTGCGTGCCCGTTGCCATGGTGCCCGGCGGTGCCCCCCCCGCCGCGCCGCGGCGGCGCCCCCGGCTCCATTAATAACGGCGGGGCGGGGGGGGGGCACAGCTGTCCTGCCCAGCCCCCACCACGCTCTCCCCTCCCCCAGCGCAGGGGCCCAGGAGTCCGGCCCCATCTGTTGGCTCCGGCTGCATCCCCCTGCTCCCGGCTTGGGAGATGTGGCGGGAGGGGGGGCTCTGGCTCCCCGCCATCGCCGGGAGTCCCGGCATCCCCCTGGCACCGGCTTTCCCGTGGCCCCGTGATGGGCACCGCGGCTCCTTGCCCTGCCTGGGCTCCCCCGCGCTCGTTTTGCCCCGTTCCGTGGGATTTGTGGAGCAGCCGGAGCCGGTGCTGCTCGCCGGGGCTTCCGCTGTCCTCGGAGCAGAGCCGCGGGCGGCTCCGCGCCCGGCTCGGCCCCGCGTCCCCGCCGCGCGCTGACCCTGCCGCCCGCCCTGCAGCCGTCCGCAACGACCGCAACAAGAAGAAGAAGGATGCGCCCAAGGCCGAGTGCTCCGAGAGCTACGTCATCACGCCCGAGGTGGAGGAGCTGGTGGAGAAGGTGCGCAAAGCCCACCAGGAGACCTTCCCCGCGCTCTGCCAGCTCGGCAAGTACACTACGGTGAGTGCCCACCGCGCGGCCGCACCGCGGCGCCCGGCACCGTGTGGATCCCATCACCCTGTGCATCCTGCCGCCCCATGGCACCCGTGTCATCCCGCGGCGCCCGTCACCCTGTGGATCCCGTCAACCCTGTGGATCCCGTCACCCTGTGGATCCCACCACCCCGTGGCGCCCGTGTCATCCCGTGGCACCCGGCACCCTGTGGATCCCGGCACCCTGTGGATCCTACCACCCCGTGGCTCCCGTCACCCCACAACTCCCATCACCCTGCAGCTCCTGTCACCCCACGGCTCCCATCATCGTGTGGATCCCGTCACCCTATGGATCCTGTCACTCATGGCTCCTGTCACCTATGGTGCCATTACCCCCCGGCTCCCGACACCCCACAGCTCCTGTCACCCTGTGGATCCCGTCACTCTGCAGATCCCATCACCCCGCGGCTCCTGTCCCCCTGTGGCTCCTGTCACCCCATGGCTCCCAACACCCCGTGGCTCCCGTCACCCCATGGCTCCCATCACCCCATGGCTCCCATCACCCTGCGGCTCCCATCACCCTGTGTTTCCCAACACCCCGTGGCTCCCGTCACCCTGTGGCTCCCATCACCCTGTGTTTCCCAACACCCCGTGGCTCCCGTCGCCCGCGGTGCTGTCACCCTGCGGCTCCCGTCACCCCTCGCCACCCCTTCCTGCAGAATAACAGCTCGGAGCAGCGGGTCTCGCTGGACATCGACCTGTGGGACAAGTTCAGCGAGCTGTCCACCAAGTGCATCATCAAGACGGTGGAGTTCGCCAAGCAGCTGCCCGGCTTCACCACGCTCACCATCGCCGACCAGATCACGCTCCTCAAAGCCGCCTGCCTCGACATCCTGGTGAGAGCGGGGCCGGCGCGCGGGGCTGGGGGCTGCGGCGCCGCGGCGCTCACCGCCCGCCCGCCCCGCAGATCCTGCGGATCTGCACGCGCTACACGCCGGAGCAGGACACCATGACCTTCTCGGACGGGCTCACGCTGAACCGCACGCAGATGCACAACGCCGGCTTCGGGCCGCTCACCGACCTCGTCTTCGCCTTCGCCAACCAGCTGCTGCCGCTGGAGATGGACGACGCCGAGACGGGGCTGCTCAGTGCCATCTGCCTCATCTGCGGAGGTGGGTGGCGGGACGAGACCGCGGAGCGGGGCCTGTCCTGTCCCTCGGGAAAGCCCTGGGCTCCTCGCTTGGGCAGCCGGCCTCATCTATCCCTGGTGGGAAGGTTAGGAGTGGGGCACGGTGTCACCCTGGATTTACTGTCCCCAGACCGGCAGGACCTGGAGCAGCCCGACAAGGTGGACAAGCTGCAGGAGCCCTTGCTGGAAGCGCTGAAGATCTACGTGAGGAAGAGGAGGCCCAACAAGCCCCACATGTTCCCCAAGATGCTCATGAAGATCACGGATCTCCGCAGCATCAGCGCCAAGGGTGAGCGGCGGGCGGCTGCCCGAGGAGGGGGAGCCGGGCAGCGGGGATGGGGGCAGCACCCACAGGGCCTCCCTGGGGACCAGCTCCGGGGCAGAGCAACCTCAGGGACCGTTCACGGGACAGGGCAGCCCTGGGGGCCTGCAGAGACTTCCCCGGGGCAGAGCATCCTTGGGGACTGTTCCTGGGGCAGGGCATCCTTATGGATGAAGGGAATCACCCCTGTGTGGAGCATCCTCATGGCTCAAGGGAATCACCCCTGTGTGGAGCATTCTTATGGATCAAGGGAATCACCCGTGGGTGGAGCATCCTTATGGATCAAGGGAATCACCCGTGGGTGGAGCATCCTTATGGATCAAGGGAATCACCTATGGGTGGAGCATCCTTATGGATCGAGGGAATCACCTCTGTGTGGAGCATTCTTATGGATGAAGGGAATCACCCCTGGGTGGAGCATCCTCATGGACTGAGGGAATCACCTATGGGTGGAGCATCCTCATGGATTGAGGGAATCACCCCTGGGTGGAGCATCCTCAGGGATCAAGGGAATCACCCCTGGCATCCTCGGGGAGCAGGGGCCCTGTCCCGGGGGCAGCGCGTCCTCGTGGCCGCCGCGCTCCGGGGCTCTGGGCGCCGGTGCTGCCGGGCGCCGCTGACGCCCCGCGTCGCCGCAGGTGCCGAGCGGGTGATTACGCTGAAGATGGAGATCCCCGGCTCGATGCCGCCGCTCATCCAGGAGATGCTGGAGAACTCGGAGGGCATGGACACGCTGGGCGGGCAGCCGGGCGGCTCCCGCGTGGGCAGCCTGGTGCCGCCCCCGGGCAGCTGCAGCCCCAGCCTTTCGCCCAGCTCCACGCGCAGCAGCCCGGCCACCCACTCGCCGTGACCCGCGCGCCACCGCGGCCGCCGCCGCGGGCCCCCGCCCGCAGAGACCCCCCCCACACACCCCACCGGCTGCGTGGGCGCAGCGGGGGCGGCCGGGCGCCGCCAGCCCCCCCAGCCCGGTGCCGGCAGGGGGGTCCCGGCCCCCCCGGGATGGGGACGCCGGACGCCAGAGCGGAGCCAGGGGGCCGGAGGTGGGGGGGGGCGCCTGCAGCCCCCTCCCCGCAGCCCCCCCGGGGGCCCATGAAGTGCTTTGGTTGAGTTACATTTCAGCGGGGGCACCCCGGGCACGGGGAGGGGGGCGGCCCCGGCCCCACCAGCACCAGCACAAACCCGGGATCGTGACCACAGAGCCCCCAGCCCCCCGGCCCGGCCCCGCGGGGAGCGCCCAGCCAGACCCCCCCACGCCGAGGAGAGCAGAGTCCTTTAAAAGAGAAAGAAATCAAAGTATATATATATAAATATCTATAAATATCTATAAATACGTTTTAAAACCTTTGTAAAA